CAAAGGTAAATCACAACCTTTATGGCGTTCCTCCTTGTAATTTGGATTCTTGAGACGGGTTCTTCAATAGATCTAGATTTTAATATAATCTAAGTTCTTGAAAGGAGTTCACAATGGGTCTAGATTCTCCATCCATAGACCTGAGTTTGGCTTTCTTGGGTTGTATTTCCAATATTGTTGTTGGGTCTCAAAGCAAGTCGATTGGGGGTTCACATCATATGCTCTGGTTTCTTTTGATATGAGTCAAACCTCATGGTCAAGCCACGAAGCCTAACAAGAGAAGTAATACCAAACTTCTCTTTGAGGGCCTTCCACATGGCGTGAGTTGTGGAGTAATTCTCAAATTCAGGAATAAGATCATCTTGCATGCTTACTTGCATGGTATAGTGCACAAGTTGATCCTTATTCTGCCAAGACTAGTAATTCTCTTGTTCTTGGCGGCTCTGAGGTTGCTCAGGCTTTGGCCGCACAGAGTCAAGCGTATCCAAGACTTGTTACTCGTACATGACAAATTGAAGCTTACGATGCCATATGTCATAGTTATTGTCGTTCAATTTGTCGCCCTTAGTTAATTTAGCCACTATGCTTTTAGCTGTCATTATGATTTAATCTATATGCAGAGACGATGCATATTAGATATTAGTACAACACATTCTATAAGTTTGCCGCAAAAATCTAAATTCACGTATTAACAGCTTTCACAAGTTGCGCGATCGAAAGTTCAAGAAGTTCTCAATCATCTCCCACACCACATGTGATTATTAATAATACTTAATTTAATGAATGTGCAAAATTTTGGTTTCCTAATACCGAACAAAATAAAGCTGCCACTAGATCTAGTATCTTTATGTATACTGATTGCAACTAATTTCATATCATGTACATTCTCATTCTTATTAAACATGTAATCTAACAATATTAGATATGAAATTCTAATTTAAATATTTTTTTATACGTATCAATAGGCTAAAATAGAGAATATGCATATCTCATATTTTTTTTTAAAGCTCTTTAAAATCGATCACCAAATAGAGCATAGCATTTATAATAATAATTCAAGAGACATATACACTAAAACCCAAAAAGAATGTGGAAATTATTTTTGAATTTTAGTGCAACACATGTCAATGTACATCACGCTACAACTCTTGTTCTTTTTGCAACTGTTGCTTGCAAGAAATAATTTCAATTGTTCTCTTTTATTTATTTTTTATTTTTAAATAATGTAACTAAAACAATGGGTCCCACAAGGCCATTTCCCTCATGATAAACTTGCAACCCTCATGATAAACTTGCAACAACTTTTTCTCTATAAGTTTTCCTTTAGATTTTGTATTTGCCACCTGTACACAAGAAGACAATAAGAAAATTGTGGGTCCCATTAGTAGAAGCCATTTGCATTGAATGTTGGCTCTGCCAAGACTATGAGTTCTGCCGATAAATTGATCGAAGAAATAAACCCCTGCCAAACATTGTGAATTCTAACCTTACTCGTTACGGCATGTGGGATGGAATTCAATTACCAACGTCGATTGTCTTTTTGTTTTGGCATGTCAGAGATCAGGTTTTTTTTTTTTTTTTCGATAAGTGACAGAGATCAGGTTTAACAAAAGCTAGAAGCAACTATTTTCAAATTGATATTGAGAGTTTTGAAAATTGAAACTCTCAAATCAGAAATACTTTTCTCACCATTTTTTTCTTTTATACATATATTGTAAATGATTTTGGACATAAATATTTAAGCACTCAATAAATAAATTCAAAACCACGAGAACATCCTAGTTGGCTCTGATACCAAAGACAACTTGTTCGCTTTAATCTTAAAAATCGTTTGAAGATGTTTCACGTACTTTAGAATCTAAAAATCATATTTTCTTCGATTACTCGAGCAGTATGGTGTTGTTATATAATAAGAATCAATGCTGAGTTTTCACAGCACAAAAGCCTTACAAATGTTATGTAGGGAGAAAGAGAAAAGAGCTTTTAACGTTAGATGAATTATCAGAAGGTATCCCATCTATTGGATTGTCTTAGGTTTATATAGGCAATAAATGGGTGTCATTAAGAGACACATTCTATAGGGACATGTCTGTTAATATTTAATAGACATGTATTTTGGGTGGTAAATGATACCTTTAAAAGACATGCTCCTTTGGGTATTCTTTAATTTGGGTCAACCCACCATGGGTGCCCTAGTTCAGGTCCATGACCCAACCAATATCTAACACTGCTAATACCAAACAATTCGTTATGGACATGGAGCAAAGCAAAGATCTTGACACTCCCAAATCAGGAATTTATAGACAGTGGAAGAGGAAGAGAGTTGTGGTTATGATGGGGATGAGGGATCCTACAATCACCACCACCAATAGCTTCATCATGTGAATCATTGGGGGTGGGGGGCACTACAAAGGGGATGTGGCTCTTCAATTAGTTATAATATTCAAATTTTGGAGAGAGAACATAGCTTATCTTCGATTAGACCTGTGCAATGATGTGGTGTGATTGCATTGTAGGGATGTGGTGGAGCGATGGCGTTGTAGCAGTGTGGTGGTGTGATGGCAGTGCATAGGTAACTGTTTGGTTCATCAACCAAGAATCTGTCATGGTGTACAGAACACTGCCTCTTCCTTTTCAATGATGGTGAACAGAGAGTCGGTGGGTCCGTGAAATTTCTTTTGGACTGGGTCTGGGTAGGGTAGGTAGGTCTGTCAAAATCAGACACGATATGATTAACTGACACGAATTAAATGGGTTTGACTGAGATCTTAAAAGATTTGGGAGGTAAATGGGCTGACCTGCCAGACATGTTTAATAAACGGGTCGTGTTCGGATGAAATCTGTCAAATTTTTTATCACACGCTTACCCATTTAAATAAAATTAATATAATAATAAATTAATTATTATTGTAAAAAATTAGCCCAAAAAAAGAAGTAAAGAAATCAATACATAAACAAAAACAAAAAGTAAAGGAGCAATTCAAAGACAAATGAGGGGAGATGGAGAGCAATTCAAAGACAAAGGCATTTGTTTTTGTCCCACATCAACAAATGAGGGGTAGATGTGAATGGTTTTAAAAAGTAATGTTGTCCAAGGAGGATTTTGGGGCGTTACAGATCATGCTTTTGTGCTTTGATGCTTTTTTCCTTCAAGGTTATAAGAGTAAACACTTAAATGAAAATATTTACACACTCTCATTGCCTAATATGTTTACACTATATATAATATTACAACATAGAGGTGATAAGTTTTATACTTATCACAATGAATACAATTGATTTTGAAATTTAAGAATTTAATCCTTATCTCTAAAATGCCCCTGCAAGTGTAGCATCCCATTAAGGAGGTTAAGCTTGTCACGAAGAAGATGGAACCGACGGGTTGACTACAGTTTGGTGAAGATGTCTGCAATTTGACCTTTGGTCGAGAGGTAACAAATTTCAAGGGTTCGTTTGTCTATTTTATCTTGAACAAAATGAAAACCTATTTCAACATGCTTCATTCAATTGTGAAAAGATCGGATTTGCAGTGAGGTACGTAGCACCCACATTATCACACCGAGTATGGGACTATTAGTTGTGTGAATATGGAGCTCCTGTAATAAGGATTGAATCTAAGTGGTCTCTGCGATAGCATCATTAAGGGCACAATATTTAGATTCTATACTTGAACGAACAACTAATTTTTGTTTGCGAGATGCCCATGAGATAAGATTTGGTCCAAGAAATATGGCATAACCTCCAGTGGACTTTCGGTCGTCCAAACAACCCGCCCAATCTGCGTCATAGTATGCGAAGTGGATGAAATTTGTGGAGCGACAAATGGGAAGAGAACTATCAATGGTGTCCTTCAGATATTGTAGAATTCTTTTACGTTAGTCCAATGGATATCAGTGGTGCGTTTCATAAATTTACAGGCTTTGTTAACCAAAAAAGAAAGGTCGGGTCGAGTAATGGTTACATATTGCAAAGCACCGAAAACACTTCTATACAATTGAGCTTCATGAAATGGATCGTCTTCATTACGCTGAAGTTTGACAATTAGGGCAAACGGGTTTGAGAGTGGTTTAGAAGCATCCATATGACATTTCTTGAGGAGTTCAAAAATATATTGGCATTGGGATAGCAACAATCCATGAGGGTTATGGACAACTTCGATACCCAAGAAAATTTGAGGGTTCCCAAATCTTTAGTGGCAAAATCTATGCCATGCTCGGAGAGAAGATCATGAATGGATGATGGGGAGCTGCATGTGATGACAAAGTTGTCAACATAAACAAGAATATGTGACAAATGTGGGTGTGTGGTGAATGAACAAAGAGGTGTCCGTTTGGGAGGCTATGAAAGCTTGAGCGAGTAAAAATGAACTTAAACATTCAAACCAAGTGCGAGGAGCTTGTTTAAGCCCATAAAGAGACTTGAAAAGTTGACAAACATAGTGCGGATGATTGGAGTCGATGAAACCCCCGATGGTTGCATCATGTAAACATCCTCACTGAGAGTACCATGGAAGAAGGCATTATTTATATCGAGTTTCCAAATAGGCCAATGATGAGAAGTGGCCAAACATAAAACAGTCCGGATAGTGACTGGTTTCTCTACCAGACTAAATGTTTCGGTATAATCAATACCCTCTTGTTGATTAAATCCTTTGGCGACAAGAGGAGCTTTATAGTGTTCAATTGATCTATTAGCTCACTTTTTGATGCAAAAAATCCATTTGCAACCAACTAGATTTTGGTTGGGTTTAGGTGGCTCAAGCTTCCACGTGCCATTCTTGAGTAAGGCATGGATCTCTTAAGCCATAGCAACACACCAATGGGGGAGTTTGGAGGCTATAGTGGCCGATGTTGGGACAAGATCAGTGGTTAGATGGGCAAGGTAGCACTGAGGTAGCGGGTATTTAGTGTGAGCATTTAAAACTTTCGGCTGACATGTACCATCTTGAGTCCGAGTGATCATTGGATCAGTTTTAGTTGGGTTGGCCACTTGATTATGAGTGTCAAGAGGATTAGAGAGGGAGTATGGTGAAGGGTTTGGCAGTGAGGTGGAGTTGGGTAAGGAGCCATCTATAGAGGTAGGTAAAGTGTCAACACACTCAATTGTGGAAGGAGGGAGGGTTGTAGCGGTTATGGGCAGTGATGGTGGGTCTAAGAGTCTAGCAGAAGGGAGAGTATGTGGCTGGACAGAATATTGTTTTGATGAGGATGATACAACTGGGTTCATAGGACGTGAGTTGAACAAAGGTATAGTGGGTAAGCTTGGTACAAGTTGTGGGGTAGATGGGGGCGAAGGGGGAGAGGCACTCGTAAAAGGAAACACAATTTCATTAAAAACAACATTGTGAGAGATGTAAATGCGATTAGTTTCCGAATCCAAACACCAATAGCCATGATGGAATGGACTGTAGCTGAGAAAAACACATGGTGTAGATCTATAGTCCAACTTGTGATGCCGGTATGACCGAAGACAAGGATAACAAAGGCAGCCAAATACTTTTAAAAATTTATAATTCGGCAATTTGTGAAAGAGCTTCTCCAATGGGGAAATATTGGCAATGACCATAGATGGAAGCCGGTTAATGAGATACACTGCGGATTCAAAAGCAAAGTCCCAAAAATGTTGTGGCGTAGTGGAATGTGCTAATATAGCCAATTCTGTTTCAATAGTGTGATGATGTCTCCTTTTGGTAGCTCCATTATATTGATGGGTATGAGGACAAGATAGACAATGGCCAATATCGCATGTGGTAAGATAACGAGAGATGTGACGATACTCACCACCCCAATCGCTATGCAAATATTTGATCCTTGCGTGAAGTAAGTTTCAACCAAAGACTTGAATTTAATGAAACAAGCTAATGTATCACTTTTATTTGCAATGGAGAAAAGCCAAGTGAATTTGTTGAAGGGATGTAAAACTCTGAAAAAATTTGAATTGTTATAAAAAAATGGCAAAATGATAATTAGCCACTACGGTATGAGTTGAAAATATGAATTTTTCTAGAACTCAAATAACGAAATGGACCTCATTGTTGGATTCGTCTTGCAAAATCTAGTTACCTAGTCAATTTTCATGGAATTCTGAGACTATCAGATTTTTTGCATTTTACAAAGTTATCGGGTGTCGCGTAACCAAAATAAACGTGATTGGAAATTAATTTTGAAATGTGAAAAATAATTTAAATTGAGTAAAAATAAAAATATATTGAACTTGAAACCGGACAAGATTTAATTGATTTAGGACGAAATTGGACCCTGAAAAGGCGGATGTGTGGTGCAACGAGGATCAAGTATCTAAGGGGTATAAATGGGGGGGGGGGGAAATCAGTTTTTTTTGCCAAATTGGCTATTGATTTTTGTTGGAGAAAGAGAGAGAAAAATCAAGGATTTCTTCAACTTCTCTCTGCGATCTAAGGCCAACCTTTGGTTGAAATGCTTCGGGTCAAGAACTAAAGTTCATCTACGCAACGAGGGCTACGTCTGTGTACCAAAAAGCACGGATTTTGATGAATTCTAAAAGATAGAATTTTTGAAAATCAAGGTTCAAAGCTTGATTTGGGTTCTAGGAAGTTTTCTATCACTTAAATTACGCTTCAAGAGGTAGAGTTCCTTTGCTCACTAGGTTTATTTCCAACCTAGGGTTGAAATATGAAATGGGTAGGGTGTTAGAGATGGAATCTCATGTATGACACATAGTATTGTAGTTGAAATGTGAAAAATGGGTATAAGAATGGTGAAAATCAATTCTAGTATGAATTGGGTTTGTTGAAATTACTTATTTATGATTTCTTGAGATATGTGGTGAAAGTGGCATGTTATGTGTATATAATTATGCCTTAAAGGTATTTGATGAAATGCCTATGTTGATTAAGTGTGTTATTTGCATTGACAATGTTATAACATGCTTTGGTGATGTTGTTGATGGTGATTATATGCTTCTGATGTAATTGACAATAGAAAATGTTGATGGATATTGAAGTTGTTCATAATGTGCTCATGACATATTGAACTTGATATTAGAATTACAATTGTACATTTACATTTGTATATACGCGGGCAGTATCACATTCGTGGGCAATTGACATGAGTGTGGGTGTGTGCGCATGTTTTTTAATCAAACACCATCCTAGGTCCGACTGAGTTGCACTGGTTGCATAGAAAACTTGTTGTGTCGGGTATAGCAAGAATGACTAGACTCTCCATTGGGTGCAAGACCTGATTACTAGTTTATACACTTCCGATGGTGAAAGTTAAAAAAAGTGTATTTGTGCACGCGTAATCAGAGGTGGGATACAAAAATTCATGTTAGTGTGATGGACCGTTGGTGAAAGTCTAGGAAATCATCTACCCAAGAAAGACACATGGTTCATTTTATAAATGGTCATTGGATGTATAACATCAATGGCGGGGGCTTGGTATACCCGGATTCATATGCATGACCATTGCATGTGTTATGAGAGCAGGTGAAGGCTCAGCTTGTGTTGCATATGTGAGTCTCATCTCATAACATGATATGGTATTATGACATTCATTCTTGAAGTTGCATGTTGTTGGATGAATGCTTGTTTTGTTGTTGGATGAATGTTTGTTTTATTGTTGAATTGCAAGTGAGCATTTTATATGTATCTAGGTTGGGAAGTAACCTCTTTAGGGGATATCCTATTGAGCGTGACTCACCCTTTATGAAGACAACATTTCACGTGCGGGACAAGTGCCGGTGGACGGCTCTCACTTGGTCCCTCGTTGATGAAGAAAGCTGACTTGTGGCTTTAGATTACACTTTTGTAAAACAATCTTGTAATTGGTTTTGGATATGTAATGTTGTATAAAGGATTGTAAATCAAACTTATATGAATTATATTTTGTGTAAAATTGTATGTTATATGAGTTTGGATAGATGTCGTATGAGATTGGACAATTTGGAATTGAAAAAAGGAGTGAATTAGGGGAAATCTGGGCTCTTCTACCGGTAGAACTGTAAGACTCGAACACGAATAAAGATTATATGAACATTTATTATGAGCATGTTCACATGTGATAGGAATGTGTATGATTGGTAATTACTATTTAATTAGGAACATTGATAAGAGACCTGAACCTGTACGATCAGTATTTTAATATTTAGATAGTGCATATGAATAAGGTATGAGAATTATTTAGATTGAATGACGATGAGCAAATTGTTTTGTTTAAGTGTATAAAGTTAAATGAGTATGCTTGAATGTGGCCTAATTTTATTATTTTATTATTTTATGCATGTTAGTGCATAGGGCACTAAGTGGGTGAGAAGCATGTGATATTAACTTATTGTTTATAAATATACTTGCTAATGTATGTAATAATTTGATTAAAGGCTAGTAATATAGATTATTAGGTGTATTATTTATTTGGATATGGAAATACATATATATATATATATATGTATGTATGTATGTATATATGAGGACACATACATTGGTGCACTTCCCACAAAAGTAAAGTAAGGAGATATATATATATATATACACATAAAGACATGGAAAGAGTGCAATGAGTGCACTCTCCACTAAGGAAAAAATTGTGTGGGTGTAATTTAGAGGGAGGGGGAGTGGACGGTTAGAGGGAGAGGGGGTGGGCACTCCATTCAAACTTATAGAAATAAAAAAAAAAAAAAAAAAAGAGAGAACTCTCTTTAACCATTTGGAGATTTTCGGCCAAGAAAACAAAATGCAAAGGAAAGCTCTCTAACTTGGAGGTCTCGGCCATGGCACGGAACGAGAAGAATGGAACTTTAAAATGGTTGAGCTTGGTGGTGGGCTTAAGGGCGAAAGATTAGTGGTGGTGAAGGAAGTGGATACAAGAGGTAAGCTTAGTTATGTAATCTATTTTCTCTCCTCTTGAATATATAGATACTATTCTAGTGTATGTATTTGGGTATTGCATGTGGGTTAAATGTTACGCTTATGGTGATTGTGTAGTACCATGGGTGTTGCATGAAAAATTAACATGATGCTTGTGCGGGTGTGTGAGAATAAGTAGTGTTATTGCATTAAAAATAAAAAGAATGGGATTGTTATGTGTGGGTTGAATTTTGGTCAAGAGAAATAGTAGTTTGGTGGCTAACTTAGAAATCTAATGAATTGTTCTTGAAATTTCATAACTTCCATGGATATGAATTAATTGCAAGAAAGCATGTAATTTTAAGGTTTTATAGAAAATGGAGTAAATTCAAGTATACTTTTGTTGTATTTGCAATCATATGGGAAATGTTTATCTTGGTGCAATTAGTTCAAATAAATATCATTTTAACAGATTCGAGAAAGACTAGCTCAATTGATTTGAGTAGATAACTTTATTTGATGTGAATAAATTATTTTATTTGATTCGAATCGATTATTAAACTTTGATGTGAATGGATTATTTAATTCGACTCGAATTGATAATTGAACTTGGTTTGAATAAACTATTTCAAACTTGAACATTATTACATATTAATGCCGAGTGGGATTGCAAATATTGGGTGTGCCAGGCTTGAAGGTGAACACCTCAAAGAACACCGCACCCAAAGCTCTGGCGGAAGGGTCGTCTTCGAGGTAGAATTCCATTCAAGGTAGGTGCACTACCCTACATCTTTTATTTGATAAATATTTAAGTTTGGTTTATATGTTTAAAAGATGGTTTCTGTTGAGATTTAACAGCTGAGTGATGTGATAATATGGTGCAATTGAAATTGACTAAACAATGAAGTAATTCTTTGTGGCTTGGGTTGATTGTATAATGGAATATGTGCGTACGACATGAGTTGATTTGTTTGGGTGGTCAACTTACTTGTGAACGTGATTTATCCTTACTATGAGATATATATTATGACAATTTATTATTGGATACAAGTAGTCTTCGTGACAGGAACAAAGTGTTCGATTTCGAGTTGTCTACGTGACAGGAATTAAGTATTCGATTTTGAGTGGTCTTCGTGACAGGAACTAAGTGTTCGATTTTGAGTTGTCTACGTGACAGGATCTAAGTGCTCGATTTTGAGTTGTCTTTGTGACAGGAACTAAGTGTTCGATTTTGTATTTTATATGTAGCAAGAGGAAATAAAGTGATTGTGAGTCATCTAAATGATGTGAATTAAATTTTTGGTATGGGTCGTCTACGTGGTCAAAATTAGCAATGTGCTTCGAATTGTCTACTTGACGAAAGATTAGTTATGTGCGATGACACATATAAGTGTTGAGAATTTTATTTTGTGTGGCTTGAATTCCTTGTGTGGCCGGGATGTGTGCGTGAGGGATATTCATTGTGTGGCTTAATTTAATTATGTGAAATTAATGATTCGTGTAGTATATTTTGACTATGTGGTATA